GCAAGAAATACATGAATGCAAATGCAAACCACTGAAGAAGTGAAGCCTCCCACGGGATAAGGCACTTTCAGTGAAAGGATGCTGTATTGAGGAGGTATGAATTCAACAGTTTTCTATTACTGCTACTGAAGTCCTCCCCATCTGCGTTAATGAGCAGAATTTTTTTTTTCCAGCGTCGGACGGCATTAGAGACTCGGGCGCATTCACCCCGGAGCGGAGAAGCGGAATGCAACCGCTTTCTTTCCGAGCGATTTCATTCTCGGCGTGACGGGATGGAGAGTCTCGAGGCAGTTTACCGGGTTTTTTTTTAGGGGGTGAAGGGGCGGATTGGGGTGGGAGGAGTTTAGATTGGTTTGGGGGGTGGTGGGGGGTGATCGTGTACTGAAAATATTTTTTGAAAATTTTTTTTTTTCCAGCACGTTTCGACATTGTTGGCGCGTGTCGGAGAAAATTTTCAGAGCAGACCGAGAAAATAAATGTCATAAAAAAAGTTTAAATGTTGAATCATTTCAATCGAATTTAATAACAGTTGGTGTCCACTTTGCTCAATGCAAGGATTTTGTGTAAAAATATTGAAGGTCTCGAGTCGTCCAGAGAATTTTGAGATTCATATATTATGATAATTATTATCAATTGTCTGGAACTACCCGTGACGATAAGCCGCGCGAAGAAATTCCAACTCGATCGAATTTCACGGCAGGCCGTGCTAAAATCGACCGGGCAAAAATTTCGCAGCGAAAAATCGGGCCGACGAGAGAGTTCGCCCTTTCGGGGCTTGCTCAACTCGATCGCGGCACCCCCGCATCAGCTGATTTTTTTTTTAAGGCGAAGCGCGAGCGGCGGGTCGATAACGATCTAAACTTGATTGTCACGTGGTCATCGAGGAGTCACGTGACATTCACCTCACAACAATCGCCTTTCGGATGCCCTTTCGGATGCGGGGCAAAGCGGGATCGGGGACTTTTCGCACTCCGATTCCCCGAGATTTGCGCTCGATTTGTGATTCGTGACGAACGTTTCATCGTGAGAAATTGAAAGTCACTGAATTTTAAAAAAACGATCACCAAATCGCCGCGAAGTTCTCATAATAGTTTACGATCGCTATCGCCGTGAAAAAGAAAATGAATGCTACTTGCTACTTGCTATTTGCTACTGCTATTTGTCACATGCTATTTGCTATTTGCTATTTGCCCGTCTGATTCACTGAAACGCATCGCCATAAGCATCTTAATATATTTGAATACGAACAAAAAAAAAAGCCAAATGAAGCCGAGGATAAAGCCTGGATCGTGGCGAACGCGGTGGGGACGTGAGGAGGCGATTTTCCAGTCACGCCTCCGTGGAGGCGCGCGGCGTGCGTGCACGCCGTGCGCGCCGAGGAAGAAGGGAAACGTGGCTAATAAAACATGACTCGAGATTTTTTTATTTTATATTATAATAAATGCCAGCACACTTCCACGCCGATAAGCCCCGTAATCGGCCTACCATGAATGACCGCCGTGTTATGGTCATTAGGGCGAGCCTCTCTCCGCTTTCTGCAATCACCTAAGTTCATCGCCATTATATATTATTTTTAGTTTCGCGTCTCGCCCGACGCGGAGAAATTTCCCTGGAACCATCGAGTCAATCTTTCGATTCGGCATAGACGCAGATCTCGTGCTGAATAAAGAAGTCCCGCAAATTTCAACGAAAATTTTGCAAAGATCGCTGTTTCTTCCTCGTTTCAGAGCGATTTTGACTTTTCGATGGCCATCCCAAGTTTCGGAGCCTCGGGGATCGGCGTGCCGTGCACGTCCTCGTCCGGCGTGGGCGGCTGTGCCTCCACGACGGGGCTGACCTACTTCAAGCCCTCGTACGCCGTGAACGTGAACGGGCTCGGGCTCTCCCCGACGCCGTTCGAGTCCCTGCATTCTTCTATGTATGGATCCGGTGAGTTTTTATTGGGAAATTTTTTGAAAAAAATAGAATTTTCAGTTTTCCGAACTTCGACTTCAATGTTAGGCTTCGCGGAAGAAGTCTCGCAGTCCGCGTTGAACGCCTGGATGTCGTGGCGTATCCGTTTTGCAGCTGCTACTGTTGGAGAATCTAATGCGGGTTAACGCAAAAAATAAAATAAATAAAATAATTTCAGAAATAAAACGGCGTCGGAAAAAAGAAAGAAATGAGAAAAAAAAGAAACAAGAAGTGAGAAGAAAATTCATTAGGTAATGTTACTGATTATTCCACACCAGCTGTACAGTCATCACCTCCCCCTCCCACCTTGAGGATTATCGATTCGGGTCCAGAGGAAAAAACACGTTAAGCAGGCATGAGGACTCGCCTGACAGACACGGTCGAGTCCACATGACGCGCCGAGGCAGGGGATCGGATTCCCGAAAAGCCGCGCGAGGCGCTTAACGCCTGCATAGGAATGAGGCAATCCCTCGCCGACTTCCGGCTGGAAATCGGATCTAAACCCGTCGTACCTGAAGACGCGAGTCGGGTGCCCCGAAGTTTCGGATTCCTGAAAAAATCCCTTTGTTTGTCAGGGAACCCTCGGAAGCAGCGACGCGAGAGGACGACCTTCACCAGGGCCCAATTGGACGTCCTCGAGTCCCTCTTCGCTCGGACCAGATATCCCGACATCTTCATGAGGGAGGAGGTCGCCCTGAAGATCAACCTACCCGAGTCGAGAGTGCAGGTCGGTCTCGTGTTTTTCTTTTGGGCCCGTGAAATACGGGCGAGGAGAAAAAATGTGGGCGGAACGGGATGAAACCAAACGAGATGCGCCTTGGGCAGCCGACTAATCCGTGAGCACGAGGCAGAGTCATGGCTTCGGCAGAAGTTCCAGGTGTCGAGCCGATGGCCAAAAAAGGAGAGAGAAAAAAAGGTGGTTCATTTTTTACCGGATTAAGCCGCGATATTGGGCCATTTGTCTTCTCCTTCTCTCCCACGGAACGTTTAGTATACTGCAATACCGCACGATGAAAAGAAAACGGTCAAGAAAGAAAATGTGCGGAGAGGCATGCCGTCGCATAGATAACAAGGATCAGACATCCTTGCAATCGATGACCGTCAGCATATCTTCCCCCCCAAACTGAGGGCCGTTCTCTCCTCGGTCCGTTTCCATCGAGGCGGCGGTTTCGGGTCGAGTCGATTCCGAGGAGAATGTTTTCCTTCCTACATTGAAGATTTCGGTTCCTTCTCACCAGGAAGGGTGGCGTCATTCAAACCAGATCGTTGCCCGAGTTTCGCAGACATAGCAAATTAATGTTCTGCGATTGCTGGCATGCTCACTGCGTTATTAACTTGCTTATTTACTCGTTCCTATCTATTTCATTAGCTTGACTCATCCAAGCGTGGGTTGCTGGGTACGAGGAAAAAAAATTCATTTTCTCAACCGCAGTATAGAGCGCAGGTTCTGAAGGCTGAAGAATTTAAACATTAAACCAGTACAAGTTTTGCAATTTATATGCATCGTACGCAACATTACGATAGGCAATCGATGATGTTCGTGCAGGTGTGGTTCAAGAACCGCCGGGCGAAATGCCGTCAGCAGCTAAAGCAGCAACAACAGGGAACGACGGGAACGGAGAAGGTGCGAAACCGGAAGACGACCAAGAGCCCGGCGCCGACCACCACGTCGGTGGCAGCAGATCACGACCAATCGGGCTCCGTTTCCCCAACCCCAGCGTCCAAGTCTCCCTCCACCACGGCGGCGACCACGTACAAGGTCCACGCCGCCGCTTCCATGCCGACCGGGAGTTCGTATAACACGCTGTGGACGCCGGACCTCCCGTATGCCCATGCCCACGCCCACGCCCACGCATCGCATCAGTCCTACGCCAACAACTACGGGTCCTCTTATTATCCCAACATGGAGTACTTGGCTGCCTCGCCCTCTATGACCCACAACCAGCTGGCACCACCCGTAAGCCATTCCATTTCCTTGGCAAGCTCCATCGCCCGTTTTTTTCAACCTCGAGGCCGCTTGTGCACCCTTTCGTGCGTTTACAGCTCACATTCCTAACACTTTCTTGGCGTCGATTAAGGTTACCCTAAATACATTTTAAGGAGGGTAGCTACTGGATTTTAAACAGGTTCACCGTTTAGCAACAAAAAAATCAGTAAGAGGCTACTAAGTGTGAGCAGCCTTTTTTAGATGGTAAATAATAAATGCTGTATCTGATTTAGTAGTACTGCTTTCTTCAATACTGGATTAAGCTGAGTTAGCACAGCATTTCCTTGTATTGAATACAGTCAAGTGTTAGTTCAGCTTCTTATATCTGAATAGGATAAGGGAGACCTTTTAGTATCATGCTGCGAGATACGTAAATAGTAAGCCTCCGCGTTCTCAGAGATAAAGAATAATTTGTGAAAAAAAAATAATTTGTGATGTTGCAGGTTGGAGGAATGGGAGGGGGAGGGATGATGGGGATGGGGAGACCAGGAGGAATGCCGTCTGCGGCGGCCACCTCGCCGGATTTCCTCGACTATCCCAGCGACAAGTCCCCGAGCACGTGGAAGTACCAGAACTTCCAAGTCCTGTGATTCATCCACTCATCTCTGAATATACATACCAAAGAATCTTCTTCCCCGCCCTTTCGATGTATACAATCCACGCCATTGATATAGCCTCCACGACACTCTTATAATGACTCGTCTTTCGTATCCGATATTTATGTGTTTCTGTCACGGGGAATAAAAATTTCCTTGTTGGTGTTGACTCAGTATTTTTTATTGTTGTTATGGGTTTGTCATTATGGGTTTGTCAAGTGCATGAACAAGCAAACACGATCAAATGGAGACCAGCACGATTGTCTCACACATAGACAACAAAAAGCAACAGGTTTCATGGATATTTTTTTCCATCAGTGAAAACTTTCCTGATAAACTCCAGTTTGCAGGATATAAATCACAAGGCACCTAGTTCACCGCGACCGTTCATGCAAAAAACTTCACATTTCCCCTTTTCCATCGAAGATCGAGTATATCAAATACTGAAGATGAGAAAGTCAAATACAAACACGATCACGAAACAAAAACAAGCAAAACTCAGCCTAGGCAAGAGTGAGGCAGTGCTGCCGTTTAAGACGAGTTCTCTGCAACGTAGCATTTGAACAGCGATGAAGCTATTGCTAAAATAAAAGCACCTTACCGATAACCCCATCTAGGGTTCATCCCTTCCCCCCTTCCATGTGCGTATCACAGCTGACTCTCCACCCTGGAAATGAAGAGACAAAGGCCCATAACTCTCCACCCGTTGACGAACGCATCACGTTCCCCCCTCCTCCACTCACCAAGCATGGACGAGTCCACGCCAAGAACACAAACGGCTATCCTCCATCCTTCATCACTGGATGCAGCACTGCTTGTCCTGATGGCTCAGTTCCGCGCGGCTCACGTTCTGCGCGATCTCGTCGTCCTCGTCCATCCTGCAAAAAAATGTTCCCACGTCAACACGTGCACGAGATGGACGAGCAGTCAAAACATGGAATAAGCGCTCTGTCGAGGAAATGTAAGAAACCATTATTGCTCCTGATAACATCGGTATTTGCCTGCAACATCAGGTGATGAGCGAGGCAAAGCCACGCTGAGCAGGAAGAGGGAGGATTAAATGCTTCCTAATTTTCTTTCCCCTCACATACACTTCGTTACCGATCGTGTTTGCAGAAATCACAGTTAACCTGTAAGTCGAAGTACAGGGTGAGGCAGAAAAAAGGTAGCTGAAAGCGGATTTATTAGTTGTGCCACCTATTATGTTGCAGGTAAGGTTAAGTAAGTGCCAAGCATATTGAACACGAGATTGTGCACCATGGTGAAACTAATACCGAATTTGCAATGTGATGTAGTATGTAATACATATTACATATAATAAATAATGTTCTGATCACTGAATTGCGGTTTCAGTTACCTTTTCCCTGCCTCAACCTGTATTTTGTGCCTCTTTTTCCCTTATAAACGCGATATTTAAATTAAAAAAAAATATATATAGTGGAAAGTAGAATTTAAGGGGAGAAGCTACAGCTAAACGATGGTTCAAGTAACGCAGGAATTTGGGGCTGAGCATGCGACACAAAATCGTTAAGGTTCTGAGGGGCGGGGAGGGGGAGAGGCAGTCCCCAATTAGGGATTTTTGGGGGGCAATCACACGCGGTATGCCCCCCGTGACACTCCATCAACAAACGTGTCTCTCTCTCCCTCTTTCCTTTTTCCGAGTCCATAACTCCGAGGAATGCATTCTTCTCTTTTCATTCGACGGGTGTTTGCAAACTCCTCCTCCGTTGATTGTGTCCCCGAGGCCAATCGAGGAAAAAAAAAGAAAAAAAATGCTTTGACATATCTGATCAAAAGACACGGACGTTTACTGACAGCCCTCTCTCTCTCTCTCTGACATTCCTCTCTATTTTTTTCCCTCTCTTCCCTTCCATCACGGCCTGGGCACTCGAAATATTTCATGACGCGAAATCAACATAAGAATCCGAACGTTGAGTGACTGCCTCTTTTCACGTAACTTTGTTTCTTTTTATTTTTTATTTCCCCCTTCCCCCCTCAAACCAGATGGGCATTAATCCCCCGTGACAGGAACGGACACAACAGCCACACACGGGGGACAGACACACCGAAACAGAGAACGACCCCAGCTGGCAAATCAGAGGCACAGACTCCCATGGAGGACAGGATTAATATACCCATCAAAGAAATGAAAAGACGGAGACAGGGGGCAAAAGAGAGAAAGAGCGAAAAAAAGAAAGGAAAAAAAAAGGGAAAGCATAAAAGGAAGATTTGTGAGCGGGGGATACACGGGATAGATCCGGGCTTTGTTACCGATACATCTCATATAAAAGGAGAAGACGCAGACGCAAGAGAAGAGAAGAGAAGAGAGAGGTCACCATAATATATCACACACAGAAATGATGAAACTCGGCCAGAGGCTTCCGGTGTCTTGAGTCTTTTTAGAAACGGCGTGGGAAGGAAAAGAAGCCGCGCGGTTTCTTTTCCATTTCTCCTTCTATCTATTCCTCTCTTTTCGGCATTTTCATTCAATTTGTCTTTAAATGGCGTGGGGACAGGTGGGGTGCATCCACCTGTTCCTTCTCCTTGCAAGATGTTCCCCCCTCTGCATAAAGTGATTCGGTCCGGACCTTCAAGGAGTGACCTTTTCACTGGCTGGTCCTTTTCCTGGCAAGCGTGGGAAATGCCCAGCGTTTCTCACGCTCATCTGAGCAGGATTTCCTTTCACCTGGGTCCGAATCCTTCCGGGAAACAGCCATATTTTGGGGATTTCTCCGCTAACGCCTTTCGTAAGCCCAATTTCCACCTTTTAGATTCACCATCGCGCCAAAAATTAAACCAGAAACCGCTGGTAAAGTTGTATAACATTTCCCTCATTGAGAGAACGAATTTACGGAATGCATTCCACGTTTACGGACTTGGCACACTCGAAGAACATGAGGACTCAAAACAGATTGAAAACTTCCAGTCATGACAAAATGGCGAGACAAGCTAAGCTAGCTTTGCAACAACAAAAAAAAGGAACCTAAGCGTTTTGGCCACAATGAGGGCACGTCTGGACACGTTACCAAGCAGTCAGTGGTGGCTCCACATGACAGGTTTGAAAACCCCAGTCCGCAAAATGAAATGAGATTTTGCGCTAAACTTCAACCTGAAGAAAAAAAGGAAGCATTTGAAACTATCAATTATTATGTCTGAGATTTAGTTCAAACAATAAATTTCACAGCACACTGTTCATCCATATTGCACGCTGACTGGGTTCTGAGAACGTGCTGCAGCATGCAAGGCAACCCATAGGTTCCTCATGTCTTGCAAAGCCGACGTGTCTCAGACCTTACTGTGGCTGGAAATATTCAAATTTTCACTAGATACATCGAGTTATAGCAGGAAATGCTGTTTGGAAAAATGAAAAGGTTGAAAGAGTTAAATGCAACGGATACTATCGATGCCATTTGTGAAAATTTCCTTTCGTGGCTTCTAAATTAACCATTTAGAAGCCAAGAAAGGAAATTTTAGACTACCAACGAGGAGAGTTCACGGGATTTCAACTGCTGGTAGTGGACGGACTAAAAAAAAAAACTGGTCAAAACCCACGGGGTTCAGAAAAAAGTCACCCGAGACGAAACTACAAAAAAGCTACAAGAAATTCCAAGCTTGTGTTAATGTCATAATTAGATATAAAAAAGTACTTAATTTTGTGTATTTTGCGTGTATTCTACTGCTATTGACTTTGTAATTAGACTTTAAAAATTAAATTTGCATTTTTTGACATCGTGATTTATGCAGAGGGTATTGTAGCATTCAATAAATTGAACTTGAGAGAGAGAGTGAGAGAGAGAGGGTTTTGCAAATTGCCTGATGTGCAATTGCAGCACCTCAAATTCTCAAATAATGTCCGTAGAATGTGTTTTTTTTTTGTTGCAATGACTGGGGAATGTTATTATTCAAATCTATTGAGGGAAAAAAAATATTTGCATTACTTTTAATTCATTCGCTCAACAGTCGGATTGCTGATTTTATTATGGCTTCTTGTTTTCGCCTCGGGTGTCTTTTTATCGCATTTTTTTTGGACACGAGAGACGCAAAAATCATCAAAACAATATTCTAAACTGCGTTGAAAACAAGGAAATCCTCCTTCGTATAAAAGTAAAATTCTCCATTGCGCAAGACGTAAGCATAAAATACACATGGTGCCTCAAACGTTGCGCAACATTTTCATTATACATAGAATGCCGTCTGGTAAGAAAATGTGTCCGAAAAGCGGTAACTTATCATTCTCGGACTCAAGGAAAGGAATGCATTTGCGGCGAAACAAGAAGCAATGGAACATGCCCCATGAATTTCCCAACTTATTGATCCTGATTTGTTTCCTTTTCATTATCTAGTGCTTGCTACGAACTCGATCACGAAAGCTTCCCATCATCTCACCCCTTGCGGCAGAGATAGATATTTTCCACGATAACAAGAATCTGTCTATTCCTCAGTGATAGGGTAAGGAAGGAACTTATCTCCCTTCGGGTACATCACAAAACATGACGCAAAAACCAGCAATCTAGAGAATAAATAAAAAAGTAGCAGTGTAAGGGTTGAGAAATATTTCTGAAATGTGTAGTGTGACTTCTGAGACACCTGGTAGATTCCATCATGAGGGTAATTACTTATAAGCAAGCAATGACCCCCGGTAGGCCCTTATACATCGCCATAAGCCTTTTCTGTTTGTACAGAGCTAATATCCTTACAACTGGTTTCGCAGATGTAGTTGTATTGGTGACGGTATGCTAGTGTTACATCTGTCACGGATCCTGCGGATAAGAAACGGAGTAGGCCATTGAGCACTTAATTAGACTAACAATGGAATGACAGGAACGAACAACCAAGGATGGCGTATGCAAACGCAAGAAATACATGAATGCAAATGCAAACCACTGAAGAAGTGAAGCCTCCCACGGGATAAGGCACTTTCAGTGAAAGGATGCTGTATTGAGGAGGTATGAATTCAACAGTTTTCTATTACTGCTACTAAGTCCTCATCTACACCTTCCACTGATAATTTATTGCTCTTGCTTGCATCTTTGCAGATATGTTCTGATGTCCTTGGCTGTTTCGATTCTGGAATATCACAGAATATCAGGAATATTATTAATTTACCACTGAAATTAAGAAATTAATAAATTAAGGTTCTACGGTAACGCAAGCAAATACGCAGTATATTCATAGAAACTGAAGAGCTAAGTGAGGTAAAATGCAAATGGCATGCACTTTTTCTATTTCCAATGAATAGCCTCTGAAACTATTAGTCCCTATGGGTTATTGGTGAATGCAAGCAAGAGCTTAAAATATCGTTCCACCAAGTCAAAGCAATGCGAAAGCCCCTCAGGCGGTTCGTTTCCCAGTACCCAAATCATGCACAAGTTTGGCGGAAGGAAGCATGCGGCACCACGAGAGACATCTAGAGGCAGACGGAGCAACCGAGACTCACCCCTGCTCCTGAGTGTGGAGATGGCGGACGAGCGCATCCCGCTTGTTCACGATGTCCACCAGCTCCTCCAGAAGAAGCCTCTCCCGTTCCCTCTGCGCGTCAGTCTTCTCCCACTCTGCACACACAGGCAACGACCACATTTGATTTCACTGCTGCTTCCTGCCACCGTGTCCACATGATCCACAATCCACAGTCCACACCGCGGTGACCCCAAACGCAGACTGAGTTCGGAGGCCCGGCAAGGCGCTTATATACATTCTCAGCCCAGTGCAAAGAGGATCAGGAGATAAATTTTAATAAAACTGTACTGATCCGGGCTTTACGGGACGGGGAATTTCGGGGTTGCTAAGAAGTTTAGGGGGAGAGAAGGCCAAGGCCTAGGCTTTAGGGATGCCCTCACGTGCTTAGGCCGATTTACCCCCCCATTCAACCGACTCCCAGGATATGAGAGGTGATTTCGTGCCGAGTAGCTTACAGTCTCAGACTAAGTAAAGCCTATTACAGTTTTGAGCCGGTTTATGGCTGCTGCTGAAGTAAAACGAGCATCTCCGAAACTTTCCGCCCGCAACGTTTTTTTTTTTCTCCTTTCCTTGCGAAACAATCGCAAGGAAACAAGGGGACGGGGGAGGATTTTCCGCCACATTAGGGCGAATGAGAGAAAGAGGCGGGAGGTGATACGGCCCGATGCTATCAGGTCCAGGTGAGGAAAAACACAGGACGGAAACAAAAGCACGAAGAGACAAGGGGGAGGACGAAGGATCTCCTTCGGGGATGCCATTGCCATGTTCTTCAGTTACATCCCGAGTCCTCCCGGTCCTTTTCACGGCTTAAGATGCATTTCTTTGTCAGAGACCGAGTGGAGATAAGGGGGAACAACATGTCCTTCTCATGTGATACCAGCGAAAACAAGCCTCGAGATTCCATCTTGCCTGATCAGACAAATGTCATAATTAGGGATACAACCTCATTGAAACTTCCGACACAGCGATGAAACGATATCTCACCACTCGATATTTCGATTTCGGAATTGGTAACTCATAATGTTGCACTTAAAATTCGGGTTTGAAAGATGAGTCTGGAAATACTTCCGTGAAAACGAGACGATAAAAAGCGAAAAGGAGACGGAGAATAGAATGAGGGGGAAAACATTTTCATCTTTCCTGAATGAGAGAGCTGAGATAGGCACAAACAAGATAGGCTTGACTGACTCAAGTCAAACCCAAAAGTATACACCCCTGGACAAGATGACGACGTTCCAAGTGCTGATGAAAACGCCCATGAGCCTCATTATAAACCTTGGGGAAAGATTCCAGCATATCTAGGCATGACAAACAACGTAGACGATTCCGAATAAATTGTAAAAGTATTTGTTCACCACAGGGCTTGTCCGACTTCAGTTCGCGGACTGCAGTTCAAGCTGTAGTCAGCATTGACATGAGGTAAAGCTGGATGGGATTATCTCTGGTGTTCTGTCACTCCTCTACCCTACTACCGAAGCCATATGGCTTCGAAATTATGAGGGCCAAGGAACATAACAGGTGATGCCTAAGGGCCAATACATGAAGAGGTTGGGTGTCCAGAGAGATTACCAGATAATTTCCAAGCGGGAATGGTTTCCAATGTCGTTTTCATAAGGATGTTCAAAAATTCCTAACTGCATTATTTTTCTTTTGGATTGCACCCTTTCTGAAGCTTGGCACTTGCACCAAATATCTTTCTACTCGTTTCCCTCTTTAAGAATTTCCTGAATATTAACATATTTGTTTGAAATTCACTCGGATGCTTCAACTTTCTCTTCAATCGGGTCTTATTATTCGTTAGCGGCCAGATGAGAGACTATCAAAATCGTCGAATCATGAATTGGAGTTTCTTCGAATTAATGGTGAATATTAAGTCTGATGAATATACACGATAAAATATATATTCAGATATTCGATGTCGATAAAATATGTCTCCAAAACGATCTGCTCGCAGTTTGAATGTGAAATTTACCATTTCTTCTCTGGGAACGTTACTTTGTAACAAGAACCTCAATAATTATTTAAAAACTAAGGGTGGATTTTTGAACAGAGCACTATCCGATAATGCAGCTTGATTTACCGGATTTATCATGCATTTTCTCTGAAATAAAGCTGCATTTTCGGATAGTTCTCTGTTCAAAAATCCAGCCTTACAGTTTACGACGGGGTTAAAACAAGAAGAATATTGGATGAAAACGTCCACTGAAAGCAAGCGTTTATCTGCAAAAAATATTTTAACGAAAAACTGCGATCCCACCAACATATAAACTAAAGAAAGATTCGTCGGGGATTTCCCTTCCATCAGAGTGCCTCAAAAGAAGCTCCGTATGCTAATTCAAGAGGCGCCGAAGACCGTGGATCCATCGGAAGCCTTTCGAAGGAAACGAGGCGATGAAAAGCGGAAAGGAGCCGTGGAGGGAGATGAATATGGAGAATAAGCGCTGGAGGCTTCCCATGGAGATAGAGACAGGGGGATGTATTGAAGTGATGGTTCAATCACATTATCGGGGTTTCACACTCCGCCCGCCGAGGGATGTGCTGGGCAAATACACACACACGGGGAGTGGGACGGGAGATTCCTTCTTCCTCTCCTCTTGGGGGAAGTATATATAAACATGGAGGGAAAAAAAGTGGGAAGCGTTGGAGGAATGAATGAAACATGAGAGCGGGAGAGAGAGAAAATAAAGGTCTACCCTGATATCGCTGGGTGACGCTTGATCTGACCCAATTAGCCCGACATGAACTTCCCATCATTCGACCTCTCTATTTTTCCCCTACCAGAAGGGGGAAGAGGAAAAAAAAAAGACAAAAAAGAGACCATCGTCTCTCTCAGGAGAGCTCTTTCCTCTTCTCCCTCTCTGATGAAATTTTATGCTAAGCTGCTTATGCTCTCTCCTTCCCCATTTTCCCCTTCGTCTCTCTCCTCCTTCCTCCTCCTTTCCCTTCCATTCCTCTTTCTTTCAGCTCTCTCATCCATCTCTTTCGATGTCATCGACGGAATCCCTCTCATCCCTAGGGAAATCACTTCATCCCAGGTCCAGGAGGCATAAGATTTCTCTCTTCTCATTGGTTCAGTCAAGGATTTCACAGGATCTTAGTGATCATATTTTTAATGCTTTCGAGTCTCCATTTTTTAGCTTTTTCATTCAACTGCTCCAGTTAAGCCTTCATGGTTTCCGTTGTTTCGGCCCTGGTGAAATTTTCCTCTAAACCCTCGTAGAATTCGCGTCTTGAAGCGGCGAGTGGTGTAATCGCGACTCAGCTCGGCTTGTCTCAGCAGGAAGCAAAATTACACGCAAAAGGCCTCGCGTTAACGAGATCTCCGTCGCCATCTAATTTCTCACATAATAGCCCTCTATTCCGCAAACAGAGTATTCATCGGATCAGTAACCAAGCAACACGTCAAGGGCAAGCTGATGATGCCTACTACCTCAAGCACACGGCAGATGCCCGAAACAGCAGAATCAAGTCGTTCTCCTTCCACAACAGGAAGCAACGAAAATTTCACCCGACCATCAAATAAGAAGCCAGCATTCCTTGCCAACATTTCCTCCTAAGGGGATTCCTCCTCCGTGACTCACGAGGGCGTGGTCTCCAAACTTGCTCTAGCTTAGAGCCAGCTCTTAGGTCTTAGGGAATGGAGATACACTTCGGAGCTAGGGTTATGGCCGAAATGCGTGGGAAATCTCCAAGGAAGAGATAGAGGGCATAAGCGGATTACGTCTAATGGGACGAGGATTCCAGGCCAACCCAACCTCCCTCATCCTCTCTCTATTATACATCATATATATATATAGTATATATATATATGATATCCCAGGTCCCCATAACATTCTAGCCCCGCATCCAGAAGAGAAAGCGGAAGGGATCATATGCCGCCTGTCTTGCGCCGATAGTCCCCAGCACTTCGGCGATATCGCGAATGGGTCTGGGGGCGGGCGATAGTCGGTAGAGGGCAGCACGGAGCAGATGGCATGTAATCACGGGGGATGAATCGCGTTCTTTTCATTCGTCTAATGAATTGGGCAAGGTCCCACCGGGGATCAGGCGAGAGGATTACAAATCAATCTCCAGTAATGTGGGGCTATATAGTCGGCTTGTTTCCTTTTCTTTCGGTTCCCGGACCGACAAATGACGCGTTTAGTCGCATCCCCAGGAGATTAAGATTACTCCTAATAAATTACTTACTTACTTAGATATTAAAAAAGAAGTAATATCGGGAAGCAGACCTTCGATGGCGAGGATGTCCCTCAGCTCTTGGTTCAGGAGTTCCAATCTCTTCTCCAAATCGTCTTCTTGCTCCCTGCAATGAACATCATAAAGGAAATTATATCTGGAGACGATTTCAGCCTAACAGGATTGTTTGATGTCAGTTGAAAGGAAATTCCCAAGCCTGGGAATGAGAAAGGGCATACGCAGAAGAGTGTCAAAAAAAGAAGGAAAAAAAAAAGGCGATTGATTGAGCAAACAAGGGCAGACAAGAGCATGGGGGCTCTTTTTTTCTGCGTGCATGTCGGTTGACATTTCACTCCAAAGAGCCTTCTTTCCTCCCCCCCCCCCGCTCTTTCCCTCCCGTCAGAACCCCATGAATGCAGTTCAAGAGGAATCAAGCCGCGATGTGAAGAGGGAGACAGGATTTCCACGGACATGAACGTTCTTTCTTTTCTAAAATGCAGGAATACCAGGAAAAAAAGAATCTGCCAATATACACTCAAAGTAGACCCAGATTTCAACCGGAACTTCGATCCTTTAACAACCAACTGGGAAAAGACGAGGACACGTAAGCTACGAACACAAGATCTAGGGAGTCGCCTGAATCCCACTGGAACGAATCCCTCATTCGAAAGGCCAGCACGGCGCAAGAAACCGCTACTGCATGATTCACGTCTTAAAGTCAGCCATCATCAATATGGCCAGGTTTTCTCTTTTAATCCTCTAAGCACCGAATAAAAAAATCTCCATTCGGTTCTTCCTTCCCACTTTGATTCGGCCATTGCCCGAAGGGAGCAGCACTGCTAAAAAACTGGGGGCGAGCTCTGCAAATCGGGTGCATGCACGGATAATCATGCATGAACAACCCTGAGACAACATGATCAAGGCGCTTATTTCTTTCAAGTTCGATGACTCTACCATGCAGTTTCCCATGCGGAGCAGCATTTACTTTTTGAGCAATTCAGTGCCTGGTAGGAATGACTGACCATCGATTGGATATCAGGCACGTATACGAGAAAAGCAATAAAAAATGGGCCAAAAAGTGCTAAACTGGATGGTGCAAATGGGCCACACAGGGAGGACGTGTCAAGTGCCCCCTGGACATGGTGACGTGCCAATAAATCTGTACCTGCCTTTAGTCATATGCCACAATGGCGAATTTCCCCTTGCTTCCTGATTTCGCAAAACCAGCGTTCTTCCAAGCTTCTTTACAGAAAGCAAAGGCAGTGTTCTTCCATTCTATCACCGCCGAATGGAGGGACATTGATCGCACTATAAAGGATAGGGCAAATGAGACTAACGACTTTTGAAATAAATCAGGTAAGGCATGAAAAGGTCTTTGAAATTATTTTAAATTATGCTTATTAAACATCAGATAACGCAAAAGTATATTCTGTAATTACCTTAATCTCATAATCTAAAGGATCCTGCTCTGATCTGAGTGCTCTGCATCCACAGCATCCAGGCGGCATCGAACGTCCATTCAAATTCACTTCAGCAGGCTAGTCTCTTTTTTTTTTTAATTGATTGGAATAACGCTCATTACCAGATGAAACAGTTCCCCGCAGTTCGTAAATTATCTTTCAGCGATGCATTTCTTCCCTCCTACGACAGAAAATTCCTGCGCAATTCTTGCCACATTCCACCACTTCTCAAAGTGGCATACAAGCAATCCCTGATTCGTTTCCATGGACCGAAACTACACATCCTATCCTATCGATAATTTTCCTCGCGCTATAATAAAATTCAAGTGGCTTTTGAGAAATCGCTCGTGTGGTAGAACGGCAGGAGAGAAAAGAAAAGAATCAGAATTTTATTAACTTCAGAGAATATATAAGTGGTAAGTACAAAATAAAACTTTACGTATAATCTGCCACATCATAAACGCCACAGGCTTTCAAAGCGCGGAGCGTTTTGTATCCTAAGGAAGTACCTATTCGTCTCCATTGGGTCTATTTTCACGTAATTTTCACTGTCCACAAGTACATGTGTTTCTAATGTTTTAATTTTTGAAACTAATTCCTTATGCCTAGGCAAGGGCTACAAGCAGTCATTCGAAAGAAGGATTTTGAAAATGGACTAGTGCTCGTGCTGCCCGGTGAAACACAACACCATCTAGAGATTCAAGATGAAATGGGATCTAGATTCGTAACAAATACTGCACAAAAAATTGCTCGTGTTTGTAGTAGACGGGAAGAAACTGCTGATAGTTTGGAAACGCTTTCCCCCCCCCCCCTCCCTATGAATGACCGATGATTCAATACGTATCGACACTTGAGTTTGCTGGAAGTTATTCAGAGTTCTTCATTATTCAGATTTTCCTCGTGTTCTTTCACTCGCAAATGTCAAGTCCATTTTCAAATTGATTTCCTTTGAATGATTGCTCATCACCTTGCTGTGACAAGGACAAACTGGACGAGATTTAAAAGGCTTGTTTGGAACGTGTCATTATAAGCACAGAGCAACTTTCGTGGAAAAAGCTGCAGAGATACATCGATTAGAAGTCGACGGGTCTTCTTTCTTTTGCCATACTCGGTGTAAGCAGCTTGGCATGTATTAGTGAGATTATGATGAGATCTCATGATGATTCATCTTGTTTCCCAATTCTGGCCCAACAAAGCAGAAGCTCTCATCAAAAGCTCGATTTGTGGCCTTATATGGGCAGTTCATGTTCCTTTCCCGCATTTTCTGCTTCCATTTTACTTTTTTTCTTGCTCGCAGGTCATGAGGAATGGAATCTCACAAACGTCTCTTATTACTCTCCATCCCTTTCTCTGCACAAACGATCCCCCCATGTGGACCATAAAGATAATGGGTTAGCGCAATTCATTCATAAAACAGAATATATGCAGGGTTAACGACCGATACTGATATCTCACTGCCCTGGAAACTCCCAACGGCTCCATAACACCACTTGGAAACCTCTGGGAATTTCAATTAGATCCAATTAGGATTTAAGCAGGAGGAAAGAGGCGAAATTACACGTTCTAACCAGGACCAATCGGAAACGCCGAAAACACCCAAAGACCCAAGAAAATTAAATACCAGCGCATAGATCATATACCATCAAACATCGACGAGCGTGACAAACCAGCACGAAAACACGATGGAAAGAAACCGGAGAGAGAAAAGGCGCATCGAATCGTGGAACAGGAGGGGAAAAGCGGAACAATCGGAGACAGGCCCTTCAGAGGCCCCCGCATGATCCTCCGCATGCATGCTCGCTCGGAATCTCCCCCTCCCCCCAATTATGCACCTGTCAACTCCCAAGTACCGACCGGGGGACTGCTCCGTCCATCAACATCATCATCGTCATCATCCTCATCTCGAGGCCCCCATGAAAAGAGGACAGACTGAGTTTTCCGATCCCCCGCACAGAGAGAAAAGGCCAGGGGATTTTCCGGCCGGGTTCCCGGGATGATTGGAAGGACCGAATGCCCCGACCGAGCCAGCCCAGCTTCCTCTTTTGTTGCCGCCAAGCAGTCTAGCCCCTCCGATGGTCTCATACCACCCACGTTCCTCCTCGGGCCCAATTCTCACCTTCCACGGGGCCCACCCCCCCAACTCCCATTGTCGGGGGGATTCATCCCACCCGTGGAATCCTCGGATTAGCCAGGTGTGCTCCCCGGGCCCGGGATTCCCGTATTGGACTACCGACTGGAATCTATCTCTCTCAGCCTCTCTTTCATCCTTCTGGGAGGAACTTCTTCCCGATAATCCCCGAAAGCCGTGCTAGGAAACGTTTCTCCCTTGAAGAAATGGTCTTCACGTTGACATTGATTTACAAGTGAGCCAGAGAATCCTTTTTTTTTATTGAATACCTAAGGGTGACCGGAAGGGATAATCGGTCCGCCAATCCATGAGCGATGACCGCCATAAAACAGAAATGCGGGAGAAATATGTCGACTTGAATTTTCAGGCCGGAAATGAGAGAAACGGCAAGCGCCCTCCAGTTTCAGAAACAAAAAACATTTAAATTTAACGATTCGTTATGCTGAATTTTTTTTTTATTTCCCCTGAAAATTCTACTCTGAACATCCACTTAAATTAAAACATGTGCACTCCATTCAGGCTCCCATATCCGTCTCCTTTAAATTCCTTCCGCAATTCACCCATTCAACCGAAAGGAAAGATGAAGACAGCCGGGAAAAAGACCTCCCTGGTCCCAGATGGGGCCCCGTCAATTTTCAGCTCGTCACCTGTGTGTGGAAACATCCAAAGAACCTCCCCCACTCCCACCGTCCGAAATAACTCAATGGAAGGGAAGACACGTGAGAAAAGGAGGAATGGAGCGAAGAAAAGGAGAAGAAAGGCATTTCCGATTAGGGAGGGGAAGATTCCTCGGAATCGGACAAAAGGGGGCGGGTGACACCTTTTTTTATGATCCACCCATGATTTTCTGGTATGTGTCCGGTCATGAATGGCGGGGGGTAAAGAGCACGCCGCCTTTAATTGGGGGGTCAGCTGGGCGAAAAATTTGGACCATACCAGAAGCAAAATAATACCAGGGTGGCCCAGCCCTTTCGGGAATAAGATGGATTGAGACAGTCTTTCCCTTTCCTTCCCATGTCAACGGCCTTGCACGAACCTTCGTGTGACCTCCCATCCGAAGGGGAGAAATCGGGGTCCATTTTCCAATTTCATTCTCGCACGTGGCAACGAGAACAAAAGCGGATTTCACAATCGACGGTTGGCACGAGGAGAGGCGAATGGGAAAGGAAAAAAAAAAGGGGCCGGGTAGAGGGATGGATGAAAATGAAAACCCATGAATTATGATGAATATTTTTCAAAGAGCGAGAGGGGTATATGCTATAAAACCATACAATATATGCATGAACGAAGAAAGAGAAGGGAATGGGAGAGAGAGAGAGAGAGGATTGATTGCACATTGGGACCAATCAGGGATTTGCAGAGATCATGCAGGGATCCATTTCCGACTCTCCCTCCCCTCCCCGCCTCTCTCCTCTCTTATATATATATTATGTATTTTCAATGCAAGCCTTGTGTATGTGTATCTGTGTGTTGAGTCTATGGCTTCCTTGGGAAGCCAGCCATCTGCAGCCGAGATAGAAACGCTAAGAGGATTACACGAAGATGGGAACGGAGTCTTCCTTCTCGGATCCCGGGGAAACATCAGCCAGAAATCCCTCGCAAGACGCCCCCAGAGGGAGGGTGAAAGTGTGGGCGTTTTGAAAAATGGTCCCCCCCCCCGGAAATCTGGGTCAATCACGGGTCCCGGAAAGAAATAAAGACCCAACAGACTAAAACGAAAAAAAAAGAGAGGGCGTCAGAGCGTGGAAGGGAATCCGAAAGACACGATCCAAAGCGGATTCCGAGGTCCCCAATCAGAGTGCAATGTCTCTACACGCTGGACACAATGACTAATCCCAGCGGACGGGGGAGGAGGATGAGGAAAATGCCCTCATTACGAGGAAAAGACGCCATTAATCCAGTTCAAGAGCCCACTGGTCCCTTTTGACGGCTGGTTACCACGCAAACAAGCGAGAGGATGACTCTCTTTATCTCTATCGCATCTGAAAGGATCCCCCCCCCCCTCCTCTCATCTCGATTTCTGTGGAAGCTGCAAAGATTGAAGCACTCACAGGATGTTCAGCTGCATCTGTCGTCTGAGGAGAGCGTTCTTCTTGTTCACCAGAGTGAACCATTGCTGCATCAGACTCTCCTCCTTTTCGGGATTGGTCCCTAGTAAAAATAACGGAGAAAATCAATTCTGTACCTTCTTGTGCCGTCCAGCACCGAACTGCAAATAATCGCGGATCTTCTTAATATCCAATCGAAATGATAGGTAGGAGACGTAGGTACGGCAGCTTTTAGAACCTGATCACTAACGGCAATGATTACTTCTTAGCACACTATGATCATTCTATAACATAACACATGAAATTATAAAATGTTTCTGACTTCATTGAGGGCTTAACGTGAACCATGTCAAGAAGTGGATTCTTACCATCAATCAAGTTTTCATTATTACATTCATCCATAGTAATTAGATAGATGGACATGTTGACGATCATACAACGATTGCGTGGAGCATTGAGTTGCAACAAGGTTCAAAATGGCCGATGCACAGGGTGTCCCAGAATTCCCCACGGATTTAAAAGCATGACGACATATTACTCCCTACAAAACGTTTTCCTATTCTGAAAACACTCTCTGGGGCATAATTAAACTTATGTCGTTTGCCTCACGACCTAAAACTGCTGCTGTAGTTCGAGACGCTATTAGATATGCTTTCAGAACAATTGATGAGGATACAGTAGACTCTCGTTATACCGCCACTCGATATAGCACCACCCTTGCTTATCGTGAACCTCTTCTACTCGACAAATCTCCCAATAGGCCTATGTAATACGGGATATAGTTAATTCGATTAGCGCCACCCTCGTCATAGTGCCAAAATCGGCGATGACCAACAGTAGCGCTATATCGAGGGTTGAAGGATTCCCTTTAAAATTCACAGGCGCACCTGGCGACGCATAAAACTGTGCAATTGTGTGAACGGCGAACAAGTTGATCCATATGATGACAAGTTCTCGTTTTGTTTATATGCTTCTTCGGTAATCCTCCTGTTCATCAACATTTAGTGTTTACTTACTTCGCCCTCATCCCTAAAACCTGCAGGCTTTCAAATCCGTCGGGAAACCAGGGTGATCCTGTAGTCTCTTCGCCGAGTTTCACTCACCGGCTGCCATGACGTCTCGGATCTTCGACTCCAGACTTTTCGCTTTCCGGTCGACTTGGGTCTGCTCCCGTTCCAGAGACTCCAGTTCGTGCCGAATGTAGTTAGAGTTCCCCTAAGTGAACCCGACGAGAGCGTCACTCAAGCTGCCCATAAAAAACCACTCAAAGACCTTCCCCCCCGTGCATTCACCTGGCCCCCAGCAGAGTGCAAGACTCGGCGAGCCGGTTCATCGCTCCCAGAAACAAAATCCTGGAAGGACTGCAAGTGGACGGGCGCGATCGTTCGGCCCCCCCTGCCCTCCTCTTCGGGGGAAGACGGGGATGAACCATCTTGTTTCCCCTGCGAAAAAAAACCCCCACAAACTCACAGTTTCCATCGGAAACTCTCTAAGGCTTGGTCAGCACCATAAGGCCTGATAGTAGCGAACGGTCAGCCTCACCTTCGATGGACTCAATATGACGTCTCCCTTGGGCGATGAGGGGGAATCTGGAATGGGAAAAGAAAGGAAAGGTGCCTTCACAAAAGCAAGAGGATCTAACATTCACTGACGAACTACATCATACAGGGTGTTTCGTACATAACCGAACAGATTTAAAAGCTCATATCTTGGTAATAACGCATCGCATCAGAGTGAATTAAATTTACGTGATGTTCAGTCCTTCAAATGCACAACCAAGGCGAATTGTTTGAAAGTGGAAGAAAAAATGTGGCGCGTTTGAAGCTTTTTAGGTTCGAAAACACAGCCGAAGTTCAAAGAGAGCGGCGCAAACCATTCAGTATTCAACCATTCAGTGATCCTCCTGCGTAGGAAACAATCCCGTCTGCAAATAAGCGTTTAAACGAAAATGGAAGAGTCGCCGACTCGCCCCGTTCGCATAGAGCGACAGATTTTTTTCCTAATCGATGGTTAGGCAGACTACAGTGGAATCATACTACACTGGACTACAGTGGACCATCCGTGGAATGGGCTCCCAGTTCTTACGATTTAACACCTCCAGACTTTTGTAAAAGAGCGTGGTTAAGGAAAGGGTTAATGCTCAGACATCGGCATTCATTCATGAACTCAAGTAAAAAAAAATCGGTGAGGTTTTGCAGGGTTTCAGCCTGAACCTGTGCCAAAAAGTTCCGTACAGGAGGCAGGAGTGCCTCGACAATAATGGCAAAAAATGTTCATAGTTTTTGTTGTTGCTAATTTGGAGTTATAATTGTGCAAAAGAGGTACGAACAAAGCTCTTGTGTTTCTTAGTTACCAATACAGTATATAAGCATATACTGTACGTCTGTCCCGTTAAGTATGAAACACTCGTGCAACTGAGACGATGTATTTTAGATCCCTTTTCTTTTGTTGCAATTTTTCTTGCGCAACTTTCCGAACGCTCTCTTCAAAACAATCACTTCAAACATTCCCTCACTCACCTTTATTGGACATGAAGTTCTTCTTGGCAATCCTGAAACTAGCTCTTGCATTCATAAACTTCATTGCTGCAACACACAACATCCCATACATGCAACTACAGGAATTACAATTATTGCTAAAAGGGAGACCAAGTACTGAACTTCAACAACGCAATCCATTAAAAAAAAAATTTTTTAATGGGGGAAAAAATTAAGATTCAATCTTGGATGCAGCATGACAAGGGGGTCTGAAGGAGTAGTTACAACCATGCATAGACCTGCAACATGCCTAGACAGTTGTGAAGCTCAATTGGTAACATCACATTTTGAATACTCAGGTCGCAAGATCTTACATCTGGTTGATGTTAATCTTTCATTTCCATACTTCTCAGAAATTCTATTTCAAATTCATTGCAAGGTGATGGAGGTTGAAAATGGAATAAGATGGTGGCATGAGCTAAGAACCACAAATCAACAGTGAATCACCAATAAATAAGTGTTTAAGTTTGGTATAAAAATAAAAAAAACTTAAGAAAAGCAGAACTGCAATAACATTTTTAGCTGATTGACTCTAATGATAAAATATTTGATTATCAAATGTTCTAGCCTCAAATTTGCAAGGATAATAAAATGAAAGATTTTCCATGCTACTGAAACTAATAAAGTTGTAGGGATACCAGACATCAGGCAACATCCAAGGTGACTTAGAAGCACTGGCAAGAGATTCAGTGTCCTGAGGTTACAATCATGCTACATGATGTTGCTGTCTCCATAACATCAAACTGGAATAAGGAGACTGACCAAGAGACCCTGCGGTACCATTTGAAGAACCGATGCTGCTCTGCTTCGCTTCGGCAATCATGCGACGTGCACGATTCAGTAGGTGAGCCTGACGTTCTGCTTCCTCCTATACGAGTGAGAGGGAATCATTATGTTGGCCTCAATTTTTCATCACATGTTTCCCATTCTCTCATCGCCTGCTTGAGAATAGTCAGAAACACTGCTAAGATCATATGGACTACATGGTACTTTAAGACTACTTTAAGATGAAAAAAAGATTCACCTAACTTATCCAGGAATAAATATAATATGATGTCAATTCATTCATTGAACAACCATGAAGCAATACTATGACATTCTGTCTGTCTAAGTTGTCCAAAGTTGACAGTGAAATTCATTGTGCAACGATGACTTGCACAGTTTTACCTGAAACACACTGTCTCTTGACTCAACACCTGCACAGGGGAAGTACCAATGCAAGGGTCAAATGATAAAATATCTGACTTATGAGAAGAACACTATGAGATGATAAATGAGAAATCCTTCCTTATTCTTTCTGAAGAAATGGGAGATCATTTGTTTCAGTATTCCAGCATTAAATGGAGAGGAGAACACAATCTTTAAGTTATTGTATAATAAACAACAGCCATGGACACAAAATAAAAAAAAAAATCCTAAATGGCTGTATTCACTTGGTGTATGATGAATCCAGACTATGCATCAGATATTAGCATACTTTTGAGATTAGACTGATGTAGCTAATGCAGTCCTCCTGATGCCTAATATCTTGTATTCTCTTGGGATGGGAAATAATATCTCCTCTTAGGAAGGGAAATAGTTTGAAGGCTATTACATCATGAAATTTCAAACTACTTATAAAATGGCAGTACAAATCAGAGACTCACTAAATCAAACAGCATATAGTTTAAAAGAGAATATAGTTTAAAATCTCATGTGTACATCGTTCATCTGTTATACCAAAACTTAATACCTTGGTTGTTCAATGAATTAGTCAACCATAATTGGCTTTTCTTGATAAGCTCAAAACTTTAGATTTTGATCCATCTTTTCAGAATATATTTTGCTTGAAGCTTACCATTTATATCATGCAAGAGAAATGCTGGAACACAAATGTAACACTAACAAATACATGGGAACTTCAACAGATACATACCCATGCTTCACACTAAACTAAATCTTGGAAAAATCATAAGAAAATAAAATAGGGAAAAGATGTAACAAAATATGAGAAGTTAGACGGGATGAGATACCTTGCTACTCTGCCGATTCATGGATTCATTGGCAGCTTTTTGCTTGGCCTGCTCCAACAGCATGCGAGCCTTGACACGCAACTCTTCTTGCCGGCTCATATCCCGATTCTACCAGCATTGAGCATGAACAAAAAAAAAAGAATGCAAATGGCTGGGGTTAGGGTACTACCACATGAGGTATAAGTGTGAGTCAGTAAGTCAGGCAAACCCAAAAAGAGAAAAAAAAAGGGCAGACAGGCAGAGGGATACAGGGACAACCAGCAAAAGAAAGACAAAGTACCACAGAGTTTTGATGCCTCAGTGTCTTCCTCACAGACTGCTGAGACTTGGAATCAACTTCCTCATAGTCCATATTGTGAGCCTGCTTCAAGGAAGAGATCAAGTCCTGACAGATGGGGCAGACACCCTCCAGAGCACACACAGTGTCTGTCATCTGACATTGGATGCCTTGATCAGACATCTCCTGTACTTCTGGCTGTGCTTCTTGCATTATTCTTCTTGTTTTTTCAGGCAGAGGGGGAGGTTCTTCATTCTGAATAGCTTCAACAGCTGGTTTAGAAATATCTGCTTGTGGTTTTGATTTCCAGGGTACAGGAAACATCTCATGGTCATCAATGCGACTTAACTCTCCTGTGGTAGGAGCAGCATTCTGAGCAGAGACAACTCCACTGTTGACATCTGTCACCAGACTTGTATTCTTTAGCTGACACGTTTCAGTCTCATCCACCTCTGTCCCAGAGCCTCCCAATGGTCTCACAAATGCTGTCTGCTTTGGCCTCACCCCATACAAGCTGACAAATTCTTCTCTGGACAAACCCTGTAGGAGGAACTTGTCTTGATTTCGCAACTCAGTGTTTACAGAAGCAGACTTGACCAGACTTGGGGAAGAAAGAGGAAGGAATTCATCTTTGAATTTTGATTTGTTCCTGTGTCGTCTTGGTGGAACAGGAGGCCTCTGATCAGTCTCTGGTGGTTTCTTGCTTTCCTGAAAAGATTGGCTTCGTGCAAGAGATGGATTATCTCCACCTACAAAGCTCACACGCTTTTCCCGTTTCTCAGAACTGCTTTTTCGTCCTGATGTAGCAAATCCTTCAGGCAGGAAAGCACTACTTTTCAAAGGATCTTCCTGAAGAAGCCAGAGGAAGAAAAGGGAGAAAGGACAAGAAGAAGAAATATAGAGTGAAATGAGAAGAAGAGAAGAAAAATGCCATGTGGAGAAATCAAAGTTGGGTGAATTAAACCTAACACATCACAGAAAATTCCACAACAAGTAATGTGGCTTCATTTAGATAAGTCATTCTGATGAAAAATGCTACAAAATTTTATGCCATGCAATCATACTGCCAGAAAGCTTTCTGTATCACCTTTACCTTTAAATTTTCCTCTATGATGTCCTACGTCCTGCATTCATATTTGTAGGAAAAGACTTCAAAAAGAAGTTTCAACAAAAACTAACATTTCATGCTTGAATTTCAGTTATCTGACTAGACATGTATTGAAATAAGAGCAAGAAAAAGTGAACCAGGATCTCCAACAGAAGGAGAAAGTCAGTCTTTTTACCTTCTGTGCAGGAAGCTGCGATGTTGGTTCATGTGTGGGAGACAGCTCCAACAGGGTTGGAACATCTGGATCAATCTTTGCATGAATATCACTTGGCATTTTCTGTAACCAACATAAAATCAATGTCTAGAATTAAAATAATTACTTGGTCCCATGGATGAAATTGGTGTGTGGACTTACAACAGGTGAACACACTTCGGCATGAGATTCGGACATTGTATTGCTAAATAAATAAAAAGAAAAGAATGAATAATTTAGCAAAAATGGATAGTCTAAGAGGAGACACATGATTGCAAGAACCTTTTTGAGTTTGAATGAGAGGGGCCATCCTCTTCATCATCTGAGGCAAATGGATCCACAAGTTGCCTTCTTGTCATGAGGGTCTGTGTTTTAGTTATTCCAGGCACAAGTGGCGGTGAAGGTGATGAAGACTATGGAGGAATGTGACAAAGAAATCACAACCTGATATCACAACAGGAACTTCTGATCACTTTTCATGAACAAACCTTGGACTGGAGTGGAGGTGTCTTTTCCTTTGGGCTTGTTGGAGAGCCAAAAATGCTCTGGGACTTCTTTTTCAGCATCTCTCCAAATGACTTACTTCCTGAGATGAGGATATCTTTGGCATTGGTGATGGAGGAAGGACCAGGACTAGTGCGTTTGCTCGAGGACTTCCCTTCTCCGCTGCCACCACTCCCTCCACTCTCCTGACTTCCACTCCTCCGTCTGCGTCTGCTATACACGTTTCCGTTTTGACGGCTTGGACTAGACCAATTGCTCCCAGCTCCCTCTGAGGAGTGCATGATTCCATAAGAGGATTCCTCTGCTGTGTTACCAATCTGCTTCACTTCCAGCTCCTTGCCTACAATCCAATAAATCCATGAAAAAACTGCACTTCTAGATACATGAATATTGCTTTACTTCAAGGTACTGTTAAAATAATGAAAGGAAGGACAAACTGGTTATCTGCATCTGGACGAGAAAACACTACTAGTTCTTCTGAATAACATCCAGTCTATTCAATCCATGCCATAATGGAGCATTTGGAAAGGATGCAGACTCACCCATAAAATGAGAACGAAGTTGGTAGAGGTAGGTCATAACAAGTAGCTTGTCAGGAACGGTGAGTATCACCATGTCTGCTGGGTCTATGACCCTAGGTATCCCCAATGTCTCAGCAGCTTCAAATGCTTTCTTGCAATTTCCTTTGATGTCTTGTGGTGTTAACGAGTCAAAATCACTGCAAGGCAATGATATACATATAATGAAAAAACTCATCCTTTAGAGGCAGAGAGAAGAAAGAAGCAAGAAGGAATACATGAGGTCAGGACGGAAATGATGAATGATGGCACAGAAGGCAAGGCCATTTCTCCATGAAGTGGTCATGTTGGTAACTCGGACCCCAGGGTAACCTTGAACAACTTCCTGACACCAGGACAGGAGGTCCAGACCTGGAGTCAGACCCAGTGGTGATGGAGGAGTTTCATCTCCTTCCAGCTTCAAGAAAAATTCAAAATCCTATGCAAAATCCTTTGTGAGCACACTGAGCATAAAAACCTGCAGATCTGATCATGACTCACCCGTATGGGTTTGATGTCCAGTTTCTTAAGAGAAGTTCTATCCCCCTTCAAGACATTTGAAACATCTCTGTATGAAGCAAAAAGCAAGTATAAAGTTCTGGTACTTTTTTTAAACAGTAAAAATGATAGGACTTCATTGACAAGTATGTGGGAGTGAGTGTTAGTTACCCAATGTGGAAAGGTTCAACATTAACACTGTCAGCTGGTTCATCAGCCATTGCTGAGGGTTTTGAGCTGGGTTCCTTGATGGGAGAGATTGGTGGAGAAGGCATCTCAGTATTCACATCAGCACCTTTTGAAGGTGAAGATGAAGACCTGGGAAAGGACCCTGATGATGGAGTTTCTGCATCTGATCCTCCAGAAGTAGCACCTGACAACATTATGGCTTTTATGAGATCAATAACACAAAAAACAATTAAAATGCAAAAAAATTCAATACTTGATGGCGAAGCTGCAGCTGCCAGGGAGGCCAAGAGACCCATTTGGCTGGCCAAGTAGGAGAACTCATTTGATGCCACACTGTGCTCTACAAACAAAAGCAGATATGCAGGTGCAAAATGTGCTTGAAAGTCACCCGATGAAAGAATTTGGGACTAACCTTTGATATCAATCTCCTCTGCTTCCTCATCCACATCTTCCATTACTGCAATGTCTGGTGGACAAGTACTCATGAGGCTAGCTACTGACTGCATGTCTTCATCCCTGAAAGAACAAGTAGTAAGTTGTAAACAAAAACTGAATATACTGTACCCTGCAAAGCCATCAGAATAAAGCCTCACGTTGCCTGTCCTTCTCTCAGGAAAATGGAAGCAAGAGTAAGTTGGATTGAACAAGAAACAATCTTCTTTGACATTGGCTTCAGATCCAACTTCAATTCCTGCTGAGTGGGAATCTCAGATGCATATTTACTCATGTTAACATTAACCGAAGCCAGCTGTCTCCTCTTTCCCTGGGCATCAACCTACAATAAGACAACAGGTGCAGCATGCTGAATGAGTCATCAAAAGAAAAACCACTTGCTTTCACTTGAATTACTCACAGGGAAAGGACTTTTCATACTATAGCAGAAACTGCACTTAAGGCATGAGAATGTAATTACTTTTTTGTTGATCTGCATGCTGAGAAAAAATATAAATCAGAATAACATGAAATGTTATACTTAACATGATGTTACACTAGTGAATAGAGGGATGGGAATAAGCACTGAGCCTCCTGAATGCACTCAGTTCAGTCATAAATTGGACTCATGAGATTTCTGCCACTGGATACTTATGATTGGGAATCTTGTCATTCTAGTTTACTGATTGAAATTCTTCTAATTCTTTCATGCCTAATGGTTCCTTTCGGAACAATTGAGTTCAAGAATTTCTTTTGCCTTACATATGAACTTTCTTGAATGACAGAAATGTCAGCTTAACCACAAAACAGGCTACTTGCCAATTTTTTTTGCAGTGTCAGTTGTGCAACTGTGAATCATCTGGGGTGGATCAAAAATACAAAGACCTTGAATGTTTTTGAAATTTTCCCAACTATTTTTTAAACAGGTTTTTGTATGCTTAATCATGGAAAGTGGCATAGAAATGCTAATAAACACATTGGAGAAAATCAGGACTTGATTGCTAATGGAACTAATGAAGCTGCATGATTTCATTCTACATAAAAATTTTAAAAAGTAATTTAAACTTAAACTTGTTCTTAATTTAGGAAGTTTAATAGATACATAGGCATGATAAAAATTTTTTTTTTGAGTTATCTCATGAGCTTCATAGAGCCTCAAAGAGTGATGTAATTTTTTTTTTTTTTGCCTCACCCAGACATCAATGAGTCTAAAGGTGAACTCATGGCTCAACTCACATCTTCGGCAACAAAGACCCATTCCTTGTCCTCAAAGATGTTTTCTCGAGGTTCTCTGAAGAGGGTGATGGTGACTTCCTGAATATCTGCATCAGGCCACACAACCAGCCCACAGTTGGGATTTCGAATGACTGGCTCCCATTTCTGCGGCTTGGATGCCACTCGCCTGGCTCTTCTGGTCCAGACGACACTGATGTTATTTGGTTTCCTGTTAGAACAGGCATTCATTGCTCAGTTTGGTGTACCATAACCTGGCTCAGCTTAAGTCATGCAGATAAGTACAACCCACCATTTAGCACTGGGTGAACATTCCAGCTGCAGTTCGTGGTATGCTACATTGAACTGAAACTTAGCTGCCTTCTTGTTCACACGCTGAAGTCGTTTCCAGACTGATCCCATGAGTATTTTAGCTGATCACCTTGACCAGGCTCACTCTCAAGGCTTATCACAATTGCATCACACAAGCACCATCAAGTCATTTTGGGGATATGTTAATAGGAATAAGGAAGTGAGGAGTCTGGAATTGTGAAAGTGAAAGTACATTAATAAGACAAGCAAAAAGACCAATTTCTAGCCTTCATGTATTGAATGGCACTTTTACAGCTTCTCAACCCCAAAGATGCTATGAGTTGGCAAACAGTTGTTTTTTTTGCTGATGATGCAACTTTTTGGAGAAATAATATGGGTCATCTCATTGCAGCTTCGTACACTGCATCATAAGGCATCATAATGATTTCTTAGTTTCTTCATCTTACTTCTCCAATGTCAGGTATGTTGCATTTTTAGCATGACTGACCTGAATACTCCTTTTTCCAGGCTTACAGTTGTAGAACAATGATGTGTCATGAAATGGCATGTTTTGGTAAGGGGGACCAAAATACCCCTTCATGTGCCTTCCTTTTGAATCCAGACATACCAGTGGAGAGAGTACAAAGTGTGAATCTTCATGCTCCTCACAGGACAGCAGTCCTCCTCTGCTTTTCTTACAGAGGGAGCATTAGTTGCAAACCTATCTCAAGGATCCTAAAATTAGTTCATGGTAAAGTTTTGTCTACTCAAAATGAGCTCCATCAGCTTGAATGCATCAGGGCAGAGGGGACCATGGCCCAATAGACCAGGTAGGAATAATAAAAACCAAGGTGATAAAAGGGCCAATCTCATCATGTTTTGACAAGTACATTCAGTACTTGAGTCACATGGAATTTATATTTCACTAAAAGGTGACTATTTTAGACTTCCCACAAGGCAGCATTTGAGTTCTAAACCCCATGTGACAAATGAGAAGTAAAGTAATAAAATAAGAACTCAGAATATAAAAGGGAACTGCAAGAGACCCCGAGCATTCCTGCTTGAGCAGACAGGCTATAAACATGTCCATAGCTTCAGTAATATTTTTTGCTTTCAAAAATTGATGCATTTCCACCAAATGAGGGTAACTAGAAAAACCATGACCCTTTTCCCATTCCAGATAAGTTCCACTTCAGGAACCACTTACAGTAATATCTTATGAGATATGTCATGAAAGCAAGAATCCCTCCATACTTTAATAAGAAAAAAAAACAAACAGCATCATCTCATGGGATTTCTGGATTTCTCAAACTCAACAATCCAATATGAGAGATAGTCTCAATGATGTCAAGAGAGTATACCCAAGTCAGCACTGAATCAGTCCCTCATGATAACCCAAATATCACAGGAATAAGGTCACTGGATTTTTCAAACTACAGCATTCCCTTGATCAGGTCTCATCTCTTGTTGGTTTTTTCTTCACAGAAACATGATCATCTGGGGATGTGTTATCATCCGTTTGCTGCTCAAGAGCAGCTTTACCTTGCATTTCTTCAAATGAAGTAGGCTGGGCGATCTTGTGCAGGATGTAAATGCGAGGCTTGCTCCGAACCTTAACCGGAGGGAAATCCCTATAGTCAAGGCTAACATGGGAAAAACCACTGATGACTGATAAAATGTGATGTGTCCTCATGTAGTGCTTGATCCTCCATGACTCTGGGCTGCTTCCTTCCACAAGTAGGTGTGTGTAAGACATCATGTCTGGGCCTCCTACTTTCAGTCCCTCTGTCTTATTGTATCTGAAACACAGCCAGAGAATTGCTCATTGAAACCAACAACAACATAAAAACTGACCAGCAAGTATCAACCTACATCCAGTTATCATTGATCTGTGTGAAACGAGACACTCCAGTCTGAGCAGGAAAGACATCTATATGCACATGTACAGAGGGGAGGAGGCCATGCTGTTCATGGAGGATTTGCATTGCTTCTCCCCCAGGGTAGTTGAAGCTAGAGATCCTTAGAAGGAAGAGTGCAAAGATGGCATTTGCCAATATATGTACCACAGTTGAGATTGCAATCAGTGCCTCTATTCTGGACTTCAATCTTCGCTCCCACCTAGAAATAGGATTTCAAGAAAAGTTGAAAAAATTAAAGTAGAAGCACTTTTAGAATGTTACAGGGGAAATGGAGATGGCACATAATTTAGGAATAAGGGCTTTTTAGATATGCCATATTATCTCCCACTTAAATGTTTGTCCCTACTACACCTTCCCCTAAAAGCTCATCCTAATGAGTCTGATAAGAGCTAGCAAGGAAAAACATCCATAGTTGCCTTGTAGATATCCTCACCTCAGATGAATCAACAAGTCTGTCATGAAATCTATCTGATCTCATGAAGAAGTTTTCTGCTCTTGTCATTGGCCATAATTGAAAGCTGCTGGTAAAAACTTTATTCACTAACTCAGTTTAACTTCTCCCTTCTGGCTATACCAGATATGCTAACAATCAATCTGCATATTTTTCCTTCCTACTTTCAATGTGAGCATAGATGCAAGATCATTTCAATACTTTCCCAACAGGATGCATTGGCATCTGTACATATACTGGGCGACCTTTTTTAAGTTTATGCATGTAGTTGAATATTAAAACAAAGAAGTGAGTAGGGGAGTGATATTGCATGTCACTGAATGAGCAAATCCTGGAACTGTCACCTTTGAAGAAACCAAAACAGAGACTTCCAGACATTCTCAAGATGGGGAAAGTGCCTAGAAACATAGAGGTTTCCAAGCACTGTCATGAGAAATGTCAAGGAGGGAAGACATCCTTTAGAAAACAGTAAATCTGATTACTCCCTTGCTCAAGCCTACTCAATGGCACAGAGGGTCTAAAGATGTCCTTATTACATTCATCTAGAAAAAGGGCAAATTATCACAATGAAAATTGATTGAAATTTTCGTCCCTAATCTTAATCACAATCCAACAATTGAATTCTAATATGTGACTTACAGAATGCTGCAGACTCGTGCAATAGCAGCATTGAGCAAAGGCATGGTGTAAATGATGAATCGTAGCTCCTTGTGGGGTAAAAAAGAGTAGAGTAGGATGTAGATAGTGACTGGGAGAAGAAACTGAAGCAATCGTCGGTCAAGTACTACTGCAGGGATCAGAAGAATAGCGGAGATGCCCAGTGACCGAGGGATGGCTGAATACCAGTACCAAAGGAATGGATGGGTCTGTGAAGTACATTAAGGAATGAAAAGTGGGGAGAAGAGCAAGTTTTCTGTATCACACATCACAGCTGTTGCATACACCTATATGGCAACAAAATACCAATCAGATCATGACTTCAACTTTTCTGACATCCAGTATGCATACAAATTACAAAAGGATACACCCCATTCATGAGATTGATTGAGTACAACATTGAACCATAGGACTTCTCCTTCAGGCCAGAGAAGTCTCCTCCAGAAAATGGAGTCAATTGCCACTGTCAGACTTATAAGCACCACTCCAGCTGGAACTACATTCTTCAACAACCTGATCAGGGAAATACACTTTGCTTCATCTTAAAAGCCAAACATCAATGCTTGAAGCTGTGGCAGGAACTCACTCCATGAAGGAGATTTTCTTTCTGTAGAGCTCAAAAATGAGAATTGTGCCAAATAATATGGACAACTCCCCTCTGAAGATGATAATGGCTGCTCCAGATGACCAGATAAAACCTCTCACATTTCTCTTCAGCCAGTTATGATAGGCAAGTAGAGCTGAGAGAAAAATAAGATAAAACACATAGTAAAAAGCTCCAAAGGCATCATACCAATATAATCACTATACTTTCTACTTGATCAAAACTCAGAGGAGAAAGCTGCATTAGAATTACAGATGCCAATAAGGGGCTGACTCAGCCATATGGTCCAAGAAAATTTAATGAGAGCAATCTTGGGGGAACACTATGACAGCATAAGTTTTAGAAAATCTGCCCAAGTTGAACAAAGGTGTATATTTTCCTCTAAAATATCAGAGTGAATCTTCTTTAGGAAGTAAAATTGTTGGAGAAAGTTGGTAGAAAACACATATGCCCCTATCCTCACACTGGCTGCTGAAGATTGAGAAAATGCCATGACCTATGAAAATAAAGATATGCTCTTGTAGTCTTGTTCTTTCTGTGACACTTTATCTTTCATTCTAATTTCTTAGGAAAAGAAAGATTACATACAAGAACTTAGGTCAGGGGTGCATATCATAAATCATGGTAAAGAGAAATTTTGAAGGGGGCTAAAACCAAGTATGGTTCATGACTCAAAGTTCCCAAAAACTGCAAAGCAATCAAAAAGAGGTTAAAAAGCAGATCCTTACCCAGAATCACAGCAAAGGTGTTTGGGAGTGTTCTTGTTGAATAGAAGAGGAAGTGGAACTGAGAGAGGGTGAGAAACACCAACCAACGACTGGATGATTGCCCAAACTCTGATTCGTATGATTTACGAAAGAGGGAAAATGAAAACACAACTCCGAGGCCAAGACAAATGCGAGCTGTAATGGAAGACAGTATAACAATGATATGGAAAGGAATCATAATAGATTTCAACAAATTTTTATTCTTACCAAATATTTGTACCCAAAGTTTTGAGAACTGCATGAGTCGCTGAAGTAAGGCAATTGGAGAGGCAGTGATGGCCAAAACGATGGGCCCAATGAAGGTTCTTGGAACCACTCCAGGGAATTCCAAGTGATCATACTGCAATGGAGGATGATGCCAACTTCATATTACCACTTGGACAATAAATACCACAACAAAGCTACTGCATGTGGTTTCATTTGCTGCTAAAAAAAGGAAATATTTAAAATAAGTTACTGACTTTGTCAATGTGGAGGCCATGATAGAGGAGATCGTGTGTAGCTTGAAGATTGAAGCTCTCCTCAACCTTGGTATAAGGGCATATGAGCACCTCAATCACAACCAGTATCAGCATCAATACCTCCCATTGCATGGTGCCTAATGTTCATCAGTCCCTCAAAAATGCAAGTAATATGATGGACTGGACTCTAACAAGCATATGCAAGAAAAAAAGGATTCCTGAGTCTAATGTTTCTTTTCACTAGCTATGTGCATGAAAACAGTCACAAACTACATTTTGAAAGATGAATTGATACTTCTAATATCTCTTGGATGACACCACTGTCATGGCAGTTAGCTTCCTTGCAAGGGCCAAATAGAAAAACCATTACCTGGTTCCTTGGCCTAGTGAATGCAACAGCAGGAAGTGCCAATAACATTGCTTGTTTTAGAAGTCACAGAATTTATTGCAACTGAGGGCCTTTACATACATCTGACGCATTCACTCAATACGCAGTATCTACTTCTTTGATACTTGGAGGGACTATGGGTTTGCTACTTCCCAGAACTTGGGAATATCAGTTGATAGAAGGATGCAAAGATGACCACAAGAGTAACAACACTCATGCCAGCAGTTCCTGTATACAGATAATAATCCAGAGCTCCTCCCTTCAAGTGAATTGGCTTTCCATCAGGCATCTATTTTGTTGAAATAAAATGATACAAAAATTAGGGGGAGAAAATTCTTTCCATATACAATGCATGAGAAATGTTAGCAATACAAACCAGGAATTTCTCTTGCAACTGTTTAATTTTCTTGTAGCCAGGTGCTACTTCAGCTTTTGAAGACTTGACAACAGCAGAAGTTACAAGATGACGGGTAGAGCGAGCACACAAAGCACCCTATAAGAAGAAAGAAAAAAATCTACTACTGGATCTGTTCAATTTGACAAGAATGCTCATATAAAATACAAAGAATAACCTCATAGAAACCCCATTGAAGAAGCACTTACTTGTCTAGCAAGAAGAGAAGCCATGGTTGTAAGACAAAAATCTCCTACACAACTCAGGTGTCACGAACCTTTTTCTCTAGGAATATGTTGGAACCTGAAAAAAGGCATAATAGATTACTGACAAAGAGCTGATGTGCAAGGCTGTATAGACATTGTAGAGTAGGTATTCTACCACATATCAGTGCCCTCAGGGCATTGGGTTCTTTCATTTATTGCAAACTAATTCCATCTGAATACCCCCCATATTCCCCCAAATTTAAAGGATCATCATTTCCCAATGAGAACTGACCTGCTTAATAGCGCAAGGTTTTAAATGGATGACGGGTTGGCTTTTCCAGGTTTTCCAAGTTTCTTTTACTATGAAGAAACTTTCCCAATAGTTCTGCTTGTGGAATTGTAATTCCAACTACTGTCCCCAGTCTAATGAAAAAGCAGTGGTAGTTTCCTTCTTCTTCCAATACTTGGGTAAAAGTCAACAACACCAAAGAAGGAAGCTGTGGCCTTCAGGCCTCATTTACCTATATCATTGTCACAAGACCTTGAACTTCTTCAACTGTTAATAAGGAAAATGTATAATGTAAACAATCATATAACCAGTAAGACAATGAGACCATGTTCCTCTCAGTTGCAGCTATTTACCTCACTGTCACCTTTCCATCACAACTGAGCTTAGTCTGGAATGTTCCACTGTATCAACAGGAATGCATTACCAAAAGCTAAAGCAAGATTTTCATTCAGCATCAGAAGTAGGACTGCCACTGGTTCACTATCTCTCATCAATGTATCAATTCTATTCATGACTCAAATATATGCATGTAATTGAGTTTGCACCTCAGCCAGGGCTTTTGCCTAATTACAGCGATCAACCCATCAAATGCAATTATCCTGGATGAAATAATGCATTTCTCTCATATTCATTATCATTGATTAGTGAGATTCACCATGCCTGGTCCTTGGAGAATCATCAGAACTATACTACATAAAAGATGGATGATTGATTGCTCCATTTTGTTACTGTTGCATGCAAGCATGTTACATCACTTACATACTGTATTATGCCACCAGAGCAAACAGACAAGGTAGTTGGAACTCAAATGTGTGATGAAAATGTACAGGTACCACAAAAGCCTCTGACAATCTAACAATACTAGGAAATACTGGAAGGAGGGATGGAAGAATGTGGTTTTCATTCCTTGACCAGAATGGCCATCCGTATGGATAGCTCAGCATAGTAACTATTCTACTTGAGTATTGCTGAGTAGCAATTGGAATCAATAAACAGTACTCTCTATCTTTCTTGACTTCTCCTAATCTCTTTTACTGTCATGAAATTCTTCTTGACTGAAGAAATTATCAGAGGAGTCACATCTGTATACTTCCTGGTAGCACCTTCCATGGGCATGTCAGGAGAGTCAGACAAGATAAATGGGAGCTGCTTTTGAAGAGAAAAGCTGATTCAGTCCATGCACATTGACAAGGTACAGACAGAAAAAGCAAACTACAATCTTTATTTGACATAATTAAAGGATTTGGAAAAAACCAGCATTTCTGCTTTTTGCCATCTCCTCTACAGCCACTTTTGAAATCTCTTAAACCACACTAGGCAACCCCTAAAATATTGTTCCTTGGGGAATTCAGGTACCACTGGTAAATTGCTGATCTTCAGGCATATTGACTACCATTCCTCAGCAGAACACTCCCCAGAGCATATCTCCCAGTTTTGAGAAAATACAAAGCATCACTTGGGGCAGGATCAGAATAGGACATGGGGAATCACCACAATGCCTTTCTTGTCGAATTTTTTAACATTGTGAGTACAGGGAGAATGTGCATTGTCCTTTCAACCTTTGTCCCTTTCCAGAATCCAGGAGTCATTAACAATAAATTTCAAAGAGTTCAGCCATTACAATTTTCCAAGATCTATGACTTATCAGAATATTGCACAACTGTAGGATGACCTTTTTACTTTCAGAAAAACTTGGACATTTTCTAGAAAATGCTAAAATGTTAGTCCTTGCAATGTAGAAAAGCCAGGACAACATAATGGAAAGGAAAATTCAAACCGGTACAAAGCCTGAAAAACCAGGACGTCTTAGGTTACCCTAAGAAACTATATAGCAATTTGGCAAATATGAGAAGCATGAAAAGTGACAAGACATAGGAGCCAAGTTCATTGAAAATGATATAGGATGATGTAAAATGCTTTTTTCAGACCATATAAGATACCATACCAATGGAAGTCCCAGGAGTTATGAGTCAGAGCCTAGAAACTCAAAATCTGCATGGGCATAACTGCTGAGACAGTTATGAAGACCAATATAGACAAGAAGAAATGGATGCTTCCTGAAGTTATGGTTGAGCGCGCACCCCCAAAGTACACTGATAGACATGAGAACATGCAATTTTTCTGAAGAAGTGGCTTTTGCAAACATTGTGTGGATGGTGTTATGCCAGTAATACATCTCCAGAGAACGAGGTGTTGAAGATGTGGGCAAGAACGTAGGCTAATACTAGTCCTGCTCCCTTCACCACTGCGGTGTGCATCTAATTTAGACCCAGTGACATTCTGCCAAGTAGGCCTAACTTGAGTCATACTACCTCAGATGAAACGTGCGCAAGGGGAAGGAAGAAAGGAGGATATTTTCTTACCTCCTTGCACGCACTCTAGAAATAACAAACCCAACGTTAAAGGTAGTACGAATTGATTAACAAATCTCTACACGCAGCCCTGGCAAAAAAATACACACTCGCGCAAGGCGCAGCTCGCAGCCATAGAACTTAACAGCTTGAATGAATTCTATTGGTTTTCCACAACCTTGTGATACGAGTGTCGTCTGCTTCGCGACGAGGCCGTCAGTCCTCCCCCACCTCGTGTCTCCTCGTAGTGCATGAATACCAGTGGGCTCTGCTAAGCTGACTGAATTTCTGCTTTCTTTTCATTGCGGGATTTTCTTCCTTTAATCGGTGTTCAGGAGCATCGGAAATCATTTAGCTGAATCTCTTGGGCCTCGTAGCAACAACCTCAATGTTCTCTGCTTGTGCCACGGGAAATGCTCATTATTTCTTGAAGCCTAAGCCTATTTGCCTTTGGCCTTCGTTCGGCTTCTTTCATCCGTTATGTACATGTCGTGGTTAAAGAATCGATTCTGTTCCAGCTAGTTTCACGGTGCATGTGTCCTGTCGCCTGAGGGTCTCACAGTTCCCCAACTGTTGGGTTGGCCTGACATTCCATGAGGGAGAAAATGTGTCTTGGATTCAAGTGACCATGGCCTGGGTTTGGCAAGATGAATTCCTCATCTGAAAAAATTCACTTATTGGGGCTGTTGACAGCCCTGGGTGCAGGAATCATCCTTGGAGCAGGAAGCATGTACCTTTATTTCGAGAGAAGGAAACAAGATGCAATGCAGCAGTTGCTGGAGGAAATGAAAGAAAGTATTTTTTCTCTTTCACAAGACTTGTTAGACCTTCGAGAAAAAGCAAGGAGGAGACTTCCTCAAGTGTCATCTGTAGCAACTGATTTATATTCATTTTACTCTGCTGAATCTGAGTTGAGCATTGGTGAAACAGATGAGAGGTATGCATTTCATTTGTGTCAGCTTCCTAGGATAAACTTTGTTCAAACTACTGAAAAGAATCAAGTATCAAAATTGAAAAATGAAGGATTGGGACAAAAAATATTTATCTGTCTTTAGGATGAGCAATTCTTTAAATAAGGTTTTTATTTTTCATCTGTTTGATCCTAAGTGGTGATGATGAAGTGAGGTTGAAAAGACCAGATGCAGGCTTCATTGAGAGTTCTACCCCAGTCATAAGAAGAAAGAAGAAATACACAAGGACTGACAAACTCTTGAGTGGAGATACCCAGAACATCCATTCAGCATATAGTCATCTAAAATCTATTGAACCAGAGGTCAGTTGGCATTTCTTAATAATGGCAATCCATTTTATCAAAGAGAAACAGTATCTCTTCTTCTTTCCTAATTTCTGATTGTTGGTTTCAGTGCACAAATGATCCAGAGTTTTATTGGAGACTAGCTAAAGCGTGTCATCTGAGAGCAACACACGAGGAAGAGCAAGGGAGGCCCGACCGAATGAAGGTGTTCATCTTTGAAGGTGAAAAAGAGCATTTAAAATAGTCCTGTAATTTCACCTCAAGAGTTATTGCATATTACAAATATTTTATGTTCTCTCTCACTACCTGCCTGATATTGATGAAACCTTGTCTTATAGGTATTGAGGCTGCAGAGAAGGGACTAGGAATTGATAACAGAGACCCAGAACTCCACAAATGGTATGCGATCTTGGTGGGAAGTCGAGGACAGTTCTCTTCGACGAAAGAGAGGATCAAAGATGGCTATCTCTTCCAGCAACACGTTGACCTGGCACTCCGGGCTAGTCCAAATGATCCTGTCCTCCATCACCTCAAGGGCAGATTCTGCTATGAGGTAATTGAGATTTCACATTCCACTCTGCATTCAAACCAGAGGTTCTTCATCTCAAAACGCAATTATGGGATTTTCTTGTCCCAGGTATCCCAGCTGTCTTTCATTGAGAGGTCCGTGGCATCGACCCTGTTCGCAGCACCTCCCACGGCCACGGTAGAGGAGTCCCTGGCATCTCTCATGGAAGCAGAGAGGCTTTTTGAAAACCCATGGAAGGAGAACAAGTTGTACATTGCTAAGTGCCACATTGGAAGCAGAGAGTTTGCACTAGCGGCAAAGCATCTCAAGGAAGGCCTTGCTATGCCCAGCACATCTCCCAGAGTAATAATCATTAATTATAATTATACTTTTCATTCCTCATTCTGAAAATTTTCTCATGCTTTGTCCTTCCTTGCAGGATGCTGGTGTCCATGCAGAACTGGAAAGCCTTTTCAAAAAGTATGGATCCTATATCTAATGATGAAGTTTCTATGAATTCTACTTGCCCATACACATCACACTTATTTTTATCCAAAACTCCAAATTTCATTCCTATCCCTCTCTGAGCACCATTATACCAGTTACACAAAAATGCTATGCCTCAGGGAATGTTCTCCTGCTTTCATTGTATTCTGTGATACATGTTATGGATTTGTTTTTTATCTTCTCCTTTGTTATGATGATGACTTTCTTTCTCTGAAAAAAATTACCAATACCATACCACCTGACAAACTGTGTTCAGGAGTATGAGACAAAATCAAATGACATAAGTCATCTTCGTACAATGTAAATCGTTTGTTTAGTTCATGTCCTTCCTGCTATATTTCTTCTGCCACTGTTTAATCTGAGAGTTGGTATTCTTACACTGCATTGGCATGAATAAAAGAATTTGTTATGTCTAGTAACTGTCCAGGTAGAATTATTTTGTTTCTTTTTATTGCCTCTGGGTCACAGCCACCCGAGAACGATCCCGCAAAATGGACCCATCTCTCTCAAGCATTGCCCTCAAACATGAGTTCAAGGTATCAATATTTTTACATCAAATGGCAGAATTCCTTTTTAGATTCCTCTTATTGGAAATTCACACCCTTACAAAAAGGTTTCACTTCAGTCCATCCAGGATTCATCTGCAGTAGTCCAGGTTTGAGACTTGAGTTACAGTTCTGTAGAGAAAAAACGCTGAAGCAGTTCCAGCAATTAAGGTATGAATGAACTGAAAAGTACTTAGTTCATATTGATAGCACTCGGACCGACCCTGTAACTACCAGAGTATGGCCATACGTTTGACTCGTTCCATCTCTTCATTCTTAATAGATATATCGATATTGATTGAAAGGTCCAAAATCCAGGAAATTTAGGAAGAGTTTTCACATTTTTCTTTCCCATTTTGACCGCGGAAAAGTTCGCACACAAGAAATTATGCTTGTTTCTCTGTCGACTTCGCCGTCTCCCTCTTCAATCGATTTCCAAGGATATCGACATATCGCGATACCGCAGGAAGACGATACGATATTGTGCAGCCCGATCCCTAAATAATCTCTTCAAAATATTTTCCACAATTACCATCAGATATCGTCATGAAAATATACAGCGTATCTGACTTTACAGTTTCACGACGCAACCTACACAAATTGCTAAATTATTTAGAACGGTAGCTACAGGGTTAAAGAGCAAATACGACTTGATGGATGCTGCCAAATTGGTGGAAGATTGGCGATAGCTCAGAGAGAAAAAAAATATATATTTATGCTGGTTTACCAATTTTTAACCCGTTTATATCGATTTCACGGTCGTCCAAAAGGTTCATCGACAGTCATTCGTCTCGCCCCCCTCGATAATCCGATAATCCTCGCCGACCTTGGGACGACTCTGTATCCTTCGGGGCCAGGCGACAGCCCAGACGAGACGACACGACCCAACCACTTCGCAATCCGGATCAGGATTAGGCCGAGCGAACCACACCGATCGCACAAGCCTCCTCCTTCCCCACGACCTTTCTCGCGATGACGCGAGAGTCCCGAATTCCCTCGAATCTCGACGATCACTGGGAATGGGGGGGGGGGATCCCTTTACGTTTCGCCTAGCAGTGATGCCGAAGCAGTGATGTCAGAGCTCCAAGACATTTGCAGGGAGAGCTTGATTGCTTTTCCTCGTTTCAACGGAAGCCACAAAAAAAAGGCGGATCGGAGAGAAAAGCCGCCTTTCCCTCTCTGACCCAAGCCGGAATTTTGTGAAAATCGACATTTTCATGGAATCGGCACGTGTAGGAAAGCAGCACATAACAACTAATTTGAATTTCAAACCACTTCTCATATGAGACACATTGACCAGAATCAAATTTGCAGACAAAAAATCACCTTTAGGAGACTCCGCAAACTTTGCTGCCTTCTCCGAGTGAATTTAGGGTAGGGGGTAGGGGAAAGGCGGGGCAGGTGGAGCAGGTGGTGCAGGTGGTGCGGTAGGGGCAGGTGGGGTTGCAGGCACCGTGTCTCTACTAATTCACTCAGTACGCCTCAAAAATCAATAACTTTCAGATTCCTATCTTCAGTTTTGCAAAAAAAAAATTTGCAGATGTTGATAACGGCTTTCCGACCGGATTCAAATCCTTTTTGCAGTTCTAAAATCCCCGAATTCCCATTCTTTTATTCGATCCTACAGCAGATGCCACGAAGCCACATTACTTGCCCTTTCGGAGAGGCTGGAAAATCCCAAATGGCCAAAGCGCATGACCTGTCAAGGCCAAAGGTCGATGCCACCAACCAACTGGGCGAAAATCCGTTTCTCGTCCGCCAAAGAGGTTCAATTACGTTTTTCCTTATTGCTCACGGACCTTTATTCTGTTTGGTTCAGAGCTGACCTTAAGGTCAACCCTTAACTGAAATTACCAATAGTCAAAGTAACTCCTCGCAATGCCCAGCAGTCGAAATTAAGGCTGGATTTTTGAACAGATATTTCCTGGAAATAAAGCAGCATTATCGGACAATTCTCCGCTCAAAAAACCCTTTCTTTACTCAGTGGAACGCACACAGACACACGCGGTCCTGCGACCCGACTGCAACTGACCGCGCCGGCCTGCCTCCCCTCGCCCTCCCTCGCCTCCCAAGCGGAGGGAATGCTCTTCCACCCACACACGGGGAATCGGATGATCCTCCCATCGGGGAATGGGAAAATTCCCCTAAAACCCCGGAGGAATGGTGCAGCGTCTCTTGCATCAAGTGAACCTCACTTTTTTTTTTCCTTTCTTCGAATTCCGGGCCAACATGCCTTGCAAAAGAAAATTGTTCGGTCAGAAAGCAGTCATTCATCAATAGGCAGTAACAGCAGTGCGTTTTACGAGGGGGAGGGGGGGAGGTGGCCTCCCCACCTAGCAGCTGTTAAAAGCGGTTAGAAGTGCTCGGAGGAAATTTTTACTTTTCCCCCCATGAGAGCCTCCCTACGGGAGTCGGTCCCCCCCCCCCCTCCTTCCCCCTNCCCCCCCCCGGAACTCGGGCCCCCCCCCCCCCCCTCCTTCCCCCTCCTCTTCCCCCTACCCCTCATCGCTCATTCTCTTAGTAACCCCCTCGCCCCCCATAAACCCTTTGCCCCCCCGCTAGCTCCCTGTTTCCCCTCTCCCAAAACCACCGGCCTCGGCAGCCTCCTTTCCGCTATCCTGCCCCCTTTGCCTCCCGAAAAAAAAAATCCAACGCCTCGTCGTGCATTCTTTCATGAAGACTCACTGTACTAAGTCTCGAGTCCCTTTGAACATTTCAGTAGTGTGATGAGGGTGGGGTCTCGGATGGAACCGAAAAGGTTATTCATTGTATAGTATGTATTGAAAATAGTTTTTTATTTATTTAGAATAATGCTATTATAAAATATTATGCTACATTATACGATGCTATTATTATATAATTACCATTTATTAACAAATATAAACATATGAATAATATGATACTTCGGACACCAATCCCTCATCCCCAGCCCCCCAAGCCCCGCGTCTCCAATTTCTCATTGATCATCTCACAGACCAAACGACTCCTCCACTCAGCTCGACTGTTGGAGCGAACGCTCAACGTTCCATTATTTTATCAGCCGCTTTCCTAATTCCTCGGAGAAACGGTTCGAACAACACCAGACCGTTCGGAAGAAGCAAAGAGAAGATCCGCTACAGGATGGAGAGCCTTCGGTAACCTTCGGTAACCTTCGGTAACCTTTGGTAACCTTCGGTAACCTTTGGTAACCTTCGGTAACCTTTGGCAACCTTCGGTGACCTTTGGTAACCTTTGGTGATCTTTGGTGACCTTTGGCAACCTTTGGTAACCTTTGGTAACCTTTGGTAACATCATGAAAAGTAAGATGCCCATGTATTTGGAAGCCTTCGACCGATGAGTCCTCCCAGCAATAACTTGAGACGCGGGCCGAGAAACTCGAGAGAAAACTGGAAGCTGCGAACGATCTGAACGGAACTTGCAAAGACCGGGTGAAAAACGCCTGGATCACCTAGTAACCAAGAGGTGCAACCAAGTATCAATACTTTGCCGCCAGATGGCAGCAGTGGATCGAAAGTGGCTGATGAAAATGGATTCCTTGACGCATCTTGCATGCAATTAAGTAATGAAGTCGACCCTCCGATGAACGGGCCAGAATGACGGAATGCAACTTCGCAGCTTCGACGTCCGACCGAAGGCTAAAAAAAAAAAAAAAAAGGGGGGGACAGGTCGTTGAGTAAAGCCGCCTCTCTACTTATAATTACTTTTCAATGGCTCGTGACGTGATCGCCCGCTGAGCTCTTCGTCGGTCGATCGCGATTTCTTGTCGGTCGGCGGCCGACAAGAAATCCGGCACTTCATTCGTTTGTACGGGATCCCATTTTTCGTTCCCGAGATCAAACATTGCATAATAAAAATTCAGCGGGGGAAGATAAAAAAAATCGCTTAATTTCAGCACTTTCATCGCTTAATTTCAGCACTCTCATCGCTTTGGGCGTGGAGAAAATGGCTTGGAGAACCACGCGGATTAGAAAGGCCCTTTTCTCGATCATTCTATGGAATAATGAAATCCCTACTTCTTGGCTGCATTGCCCAACCTTTGTCCAAGAAAAAATAAAAAATAAATAAATAACTGAAAAGAGGGCAAGACTATTCCTCACGTACAACATAAAAAATGTCATTTCAAAGAGTCATTTATCAAAAGCAGAGAATTTCCCTTTTTGCAATCAATCAATGTGTCATTTCGGGCCATGTGCGCCTCGTTCCCTCGCGGCGGAGTTCTCGCACTGAATTTCGCAATTTTCTCGAGAAAGCCTCATCGAGCAAATCGAAAAAAAAAAACGCGAGAAAAAAGAAGCAGCGGCCGGGAGGAAGACCCGACTGCAACTGACCGCGCCGGCCTGCCTCCCCTCGCCCTCCCTCGCCCTCCCAAGCGGGAATGCTCTTCCACCCACACACGGATGATCCTCCCATCGCGGAATGGGAAAATTCCCCTTAAACCCCGGAGGAATGGTGCAGCGTCTGCGATCGGTCTTCGACACGCCTCGCGGACGGAGTTTCCAGCGCTGTACCTGGTACTGGTACCTGTGGACTTTTTAAGTACGGACTGGGGAGCGTTTTCAGCTGGACCCAGGCCGATTTAGGCTTCCCTCGGGTCGGCTTTTGGAGTTGGGAGCTGAAGTTGATGCCTGATTGAGCAGCAGTAAAGTCGTGATGCAGTGGCGATGCTGGGCCGAAGGGGGGTTATGTATAATATAGGTAGGATGTTAATAGGAGCATTATGTAATTAAATAATCAAGTAAAGTAACCCAGTCCAGTAGCCTGTATGGTCGGGGGGGGGGGGACATTGAGAAATTTCGATGCCAATGAAATCACTCTTATTGTGGAGGATACAATAATTTCGTTTTGAGGGGCAGTGAATAACTATTGGGGGCAACTGCCCCCCCCCCCCGAAGAAAATGTGCCTCTCCTCTTCTCCCATCATTCATTGACGTAACAGGCCGAACGACCCCTTTGCCCAACTAAACTACAGGCAGTTCTGATCGAACACGCCACGCAATTTTTCCTAGCCGCATTTTTTATTTAATTCATTGCTGCCTTATATCTAAAGGTATCTCTTATACGAAGTTCCATGCAGAGAAATTAAGGCTCGCGAATGTACACGATGAAAGAACCTAGATAGGACCGGAATGGAATGACGGAATGTCGGAATGTCGGTAGGGTGGAGACGTGCACCGCGTACGCGCTGAAGGACCTGGGATCCGGCCGCTATCGTTACAGCCTCGGAAATTCCAGATCCCCGGAAGATCCGGATCCGGATCCGGGATCCGGGATCCCGAGTCACTAGCGAGTCCATGAAAGACGCCTGCAATGGAAAGATCTACAGCGCCTTCCCCCCCTCCGAAAGGAAAACCTGCTGAGGGTCGCAAGGAGGGCCGAGATCGCGAACGACACTCTTCACGCGGGAATCTGATTCAACGGACGATGGACGGCCTCCAATGGTAGGCCTATGACCTCCACGAAGAACAGGGTTGCTGGCTTCCGCGAGGAACAGTGTTGCTGTGATGCGAGCTAAATTCTATTAATTATTTGTAGGGACGGTCGCAAAAGAGGCCATCATGAAGGGATTCTCGCCTCGCAATCCTGCTCTGGACAATGAGTGGCTGGACAATGAGCCAGAGAATTCGGGCTTCTGGATCCGAGACGAGGCATCCGGCATCGCTGTAAGGGTCGGCGGATGCGGGAATCCAGGCTATTACGTTTGCGAATTCCCGGATCCTTGGGGAGGCGTTTGGAGGCAGTGATGCCAGGCGGAGGAGGGATTTTTTTTTGGCTTTGTTTTTTTGGATTTTTTTTTCATATTTAATTTGCATCAAATTAAATATAATTCGTTTACCGTCGTGGATCCCGAAACGGCAGCAAAAAAAAAGAAGCGAAACAGGGATTCTATTCTGGTATATCCGTGACGCGCTCATCAAATCGTCTAAAATTTTCCCTATGGAAGATTCCAGTCGAGAAAGTGCAAAGGAGAGCATCCATTACGAATCTATGAAGTGGCATGAATCAGCAGAGAATCTCCGTCTTTTAACCTTGCGTAATTGAAAGCTCCTTCGCTTAGCATCACTGTATTCGCGTGATTCGACCTCGATTCGAACCGGCGATTCGACCGCTACCGTGAATACGGAGTCAGCGTCGTGTAAAACGTCAGTGTTCCTCTTGTATGCATGCTGGGGTGTGTGAGTATGGGTGAAGGCGTGGGTGTGGGTGTGGGCAGGCCCAGAGGTTTCCAGAGGCCTGGGGCTAAACCAAACCAGAGGCCCTTTGGAGGTCACTGTATGGATGGGGATGGCCCTTTTTTAGGATCTTGGCATTGGGTCTCATTGGAGGCCTCCGTAGAACCCCTTGTAACGCAAGGCCTGGGGCAGATTGTCCCCAATGTCGTCCCCCCCCCCCCCCCCCCCCCCCCCCCCCCCCCCCCTCCCCCCCCTCCCCCTC